AGTGAGATGCAGATAAAGCCCAGCAGCCCTTGGGACACACAGGACACAGCAGGGAGCCAAGGTCCAGGGGAGCCACAGCCACCTCCCTCCCCGGAGCAGGGATGCTCCTGGCACCTGGCAGGGGGTGAGCAGCATCCCTACCCAAGGATCTGCCCAGGGCTGGTGTGAACTGCTCCAGAGAGCCCCTGGGAGGCCAGGCCAGCTCTGGACCTGTCCAGCTCCAAACCCTGGGCCTCTCCAGCACTGGAATGTGTGCATCAGGGTTGGAGTGAGCACCCAGGGCAAGGTGCTCAGGTCTGGCTGTGGAGACCACAGCTCACTATGGAATGTGGGATCTCCTTCCCACACACAGCCTGGGCAGGACTGGCAGCAACAGCCCCTGCTGCCACCCAAAGGCATCAGTCACACCTGAGCAGTGCCTGCAGGGACTCACTCACCTTCCCTGTCATCTTCTGGATCTCGTTCCTGTAGAAAATCAGGCTCCTCCTCAGGAACTCGTAGCTGCAAGACAGGAACAGAGCACGGGAAGGGCTGAGCAGAGAAGGATGTGGGGAAGTTTCAGATGCTATTTAGAGCTGGAGGGAAGCTTGTTTGGGAGGAGACAAGCACTGCCCTCCCAGTTCCTGATCCCAGAACACAGCCCAGAGCCCCCAGCACTGCCCTGGCTCCGAGGGCTCAGCCCACCTGGCTCTCTTGAGTGCCTCGACCCACTCCTGGCACTGCTCCTCCGTGGCACACTCGAAGCAGTATTTCCTCTCTGGCTCCTCGATGAAACCTGCCAGGGACAAGGAAAAGGCTCCAGGCAGGTCCTGGCAGAGCTGCTGCTGCTCCCCTGACTCCCTCTCCAGACTCTGCCAGGCCATAATTAGCAGCTCTGTTAACTAAGATGAGCTGGGAATGAGTCTGTAACCCCAACCTCCAGCCCCTCTCCCATTCCCTGGGTGGCTCTGGGTGCCTGGGGCAGCTGCCCACAGCATTTCCCAGCTTACAGCAGCCAGAGACCTCGGGAAGGGCAACTCCCCAGTCTGAGGGTGAGCTGGACTGGACCAGCACAGCCAGATCCAGGACTGACTCCCTGAGGCCCCTTGCAAAGACAGCAGGGGTTTAAATCCAAGTGGGAAACAGCCCTGAGAGGAACTGGGATACCTGCAGGGAGCAGCCAACCAAGGAGTTAAACTGCACTGGGAGAAGGCCCAGAGCTGCCTTTGCTGGAGGCTTTTGGGAATGTGGCACTCCCATGGTACTCCCACCATGGAGAGCAGGTCCTGGTGCCACTCCAGTTCTTGACCAGGACACAGCCAGGACATGTCCCCAGCTCCTGTCCCCAGAGCTCTGCTGAGCAGACCCTCAGGGCTGCTGCTGCCAAACACCTGGGTCAGGCTGCACCAGCACCTCAGGATGTGCTGTGGACACACCCCAACACCAGGCACTGCTGGGTTTAACCCTGCTCAGGAGTCTTCCCCCACCAGAGCTCCCAACACCCCTAAAGCCCCAAAATCCAGCACGTGGTGCTGTGGGCTCAGTGTGTTCAGGCAGTTTGAGGGTCCTTTGGAAGCACAGAGCAGAGCCACAGCTGTGCCTGGCAGCCAGGCCAAAAGATACAGGGATGGCCTTGGAGAAACATCCTGTTATTGTGGCCACATACCTCTGGCACAGGGGAGAGCTGCAGGATGAAAGGCTGCTCCCAGGGGAGCTGGCCCAGCTGCAGCTGCACAAGGACACACAGAGGGGAGGATGGGGCTGGAGCAGCTTTATCTGAGCCTCTCCAGGCTGTTTTTTGGATAAAATGCAGCAGCACAGAGCAGATCTGTCAATAACCAAGCTCCCCCTGCCAGGGATTCCACAGGCACCCAGTGGGGCCTGGCTGCTCTTCATGCTGCTCTGCACGTGCAGCTGTGCAAATCCCACAGGCTGTGCCATGGAATATCCCTGAGATCTCCTCAGGATGGGCCACAGGCACAGTGAGGAACAGCTGGCAGCTGAGGAGGGGAAAGGCTGAGGAATTGGTAAAGTTGGAAAAGGCCTTTGAGATCATCAGGTCCAACCATCAACCCAGCACCACCAGGTTCACCCCTGTCCCCAGGTGCCACAGCCACACCTCTTCTGAACACTCCCAGGGATGGTGACTGCACCACTGCCCTGGGCAGCCTCTGCCAGTACTTCCAAACCTTTTGGTGAGTAAATTTTCCCCAGTATCCAACCTAAACCTGTCCTGGGCACAACTGGAGGTCATTTCCTCTCGTCCTGTCCCCTGTTTCCTGGGAGCAGAGCCTGACCCCACAGAGGGAGAGGGGAAGGGCTGGGGCAGTGACCCCAGCGAGGAGGGGAAGGGCTGAGCTGAGCCCAGTGCCCCCAGGGAAACAGGGAAAGCAGGAACGGAGCAGTCCAACATGTCCTTTCCCACGTGCCACCAGGGAAAGGCAAAGGGCAGCACAGGCAGCACTCACTGATGGAGAAGACGTTCTCCTCCTCTTTGGTGATCTTGCAGTGCTCCAGCAGCAGAGCTCCAATGGGCTGGAAAACACAAGGAGAGAGGGTTTAACCCACAGAGCCCCCAGCACCACGAGGGCTGAACCCACCCTGGAGCCTTTTAAGCAACTTTCACAAGCTGGTGCTGCTTTCAAATAATTCAGTCTGATTGCACCATATTTCATGTTCCTTTAATCAACCTTTTCATTCCAGTCTCACCTGTAGCACTTTGCATTTGTTAATTAGGTGTTAATCACCTCTACTGGCTCAGATTCAGCCTTCACCACTCTGTGACACCAGGGAAGAACTTTTGCTTTTAAAATCAAAGATGAACCATTTACTGTGACACCCAGAATAACCAACACTGAGCTGTGCAAGGGCAGTCCTGGAGCCTTGCAAGGGGTTACACAGTGTGAGGGGAGCTGGAGTAGCTCAGGATGGACAAAAAACCACCTGATGCTACTCAGGGACCTGGGGACAGCAGGTGACACTGGCCATGAACAAGAGCAACCACAGGAAATCCTCGTCCCAGTGAACCAAAGTGTCAGAAGCAAATCAGACAGCAGGGAAGAGATTGAAAACCTGATTTATCTTGTATTTCATAGAACTCTGGATTGGAAGAGACCTCAAAGTCCATCCAGTGCCATGGCAGGGACACCTCCCACTGTCCCAGGCTGCTCCCAGCCCTGCCCAGCCTGGCCTTGGGCACTGCCAGGGATCCAGGGGCAGCCACAGCTGCTCTGGGCACCCTGTGCCAGGGCCTGCCCACCCTGCCAGGGAACAATTCCTGCCCAAGATCCCATCCAGCCCTGCCCTCTGGCAGTGGGAGCCATTCCCTGTGTCCTGTCCCTCCAGGCCTTGTCCCCAGTCCCTCTCCAGCTCTCCTGGAGCCCTGCTGAGCTGGTGGAAGAGGAAAGCTGGACACTGTTCCAGCTCTGTCCCTGCACCATTTTCTCAGCACACACAATCCAGGCACAGAAAGAGAAGAAAGGAGGAGGGGAACAAGCCCCACCCAGAGGCCCAAGCCCTACCTCGGCCTCATCGGTGCGGAAGTAGAAGAGAAAATTCACCACGAGCTTCACCAGGCGCTTCTTCAGCACTGCAGGGACACGAGGCAGCAGGGCTGAGGCAGAGGGCACAGGGAGCAGGGGGCACCCTGCCAGCCCTCAGCATGGCACTGACCCCACCAAAGCACCCCCCGAGGCTGCTCCCCCAAACGCTGCCTGGGGTGACAAAGTGGCCTCAGGACAAGGGAGTGAGTGCAACACTCCAGAGCTGGTGTGCAAGGTGCCAGAGCCCCTGAGCAGCTCCTGGGCAGCCAGAGCTCACAGCAGCACCTCAGGCACTCCAGGAAAAGCTCCAGATCCCAGGAGCCCTGCCTGGAGCTGCCAGCACGGGCGTCACCCCCAAGGGACAAAGTCCAGCAGCTCCTCAGGAGGAAAGGCTCAGGACAAGGGAGTGAGTGCAACACTCCAGAGCTGGTGTGCAAGGGAATTTGCCGGGAGATTTCAGGGAAGAGCTTCTTCCCCAGATCCCCTGGAAATGGGGGATCTCTGGGGACCTCCCTGAGCCCAGCCCAGCCCCAGAACCTCCCTCCACACCTAGACTGCATCCCACCACTCGTGCTCCCCATTTCCACACTCCAGCCCTGCCAGTCTGCCTGTGCCCAGTCCTGCCTCCCAGTGCTGCCCACCCAGTACTGCCAGTCCCACCCTGCCCCTGTGCCCAGTGTTCCCAGTCCTGCCCTGGTTTCCCAGTCTGGATTCTCCAGCACCCTCAATCCTCCCCCCCAGCTTCCCCAGTCCCTCTGCAGCCTTGCCCCGCAGTAATCCAGGTCTGATTCTGCAGTCGGGGCCCCTCAAGTACCCCCAGTCCGTTTCTCACGCGTGATTCTCCAGTTCCCCCAGCCCCACCATCCAGGGCACCGAGCCTCTCTCCCCCAGTCCCTCCCCAGTACCCCCAGTCCTGATTCTGCAGTCGGGGTCCCCCAGTTCTGGCCCGCCTTCACCTTCCTCCCCACACCGCCCTCCAGCCTTGCCCCCCTCTCCCAGCCTCCCCCAGTTCTCCCAGTCCTGACTCGGTCCTGCCCCAGTTTCTCACTGCTGATTCTCCAGTATCCTCAGTCCCATCATCCCAGTTCTCCCAGTCCCTCCTCACCCACTGCTCCCACTTTCCCAGCCCGGATCCTCCAGCACCCCCAGCTCTCCCAGTCCCTCTCCAGTAACCCCAGCCCTGATTCTTCACTCGGGGCCCTCAGGTACCCCCGGTCCGGTCCTGCTCTGCTCCTACCCCCGTAACCCCAGCCCTGACTCCTCCCTCAGGCCTCTCCGCGGACTCCCCCTCACCGCTGCCCTTCTTGGGGACGCTCATGCGGATCTCGGCCGCTTTCTCGGCGGGCTGGCGGGCCAGGGACAGCAGCTCCCGCTCGTTGTAGCGCATGGCGGGCCCGCCCCGGCCCATGGCCCCTCCCGGGCCGCCGCCAGCGCCGCCGGAAGCGCCCTCAGCGCCGCCGGAAGCGCTCGCGGGGCGGCGGGAGCGCGCATGCGCAGGGGCGGGAGCGCGCATGCGCCGGGGAGAGGAGAGCGGGGCCGCGCTCAGGTACGGAGCGGGGGAGGGGGCCGTGAGGGGAACGGGGGAACTGGAGCTGAAAAAACTGGGAGGGCTGGGAAGGAGGGACTGGGAGGGCTGGGCAGCCTGGGTGGTGGGGCTGAGGGAACTGGAGAATCACGAGTGGGAAACTGGGGGTAGGGCCCCGGGCAGGGTTTGGGCTACTGGGAGGATCAGCAGGGCAGGAGCAGGGGCGCCTGAGGGGCCCCGAGTGCAGAACTGGGATGGAGTTACTGGAAAAGTACTGGGGGAACTGGGTGCCCTGGGTGGGAGGACTGGGAGTGCTGGAGAATCTGGGCTGGAAAGCCAAGGGTGCTGGAAAAGAGAGAACTGGGGTGGGGGAACTGGAGAATCACGAGTGGGAAACTGGGGGTACTGGGAGCATCAGGAGGGCAGGACTGGGGGTACCTGGGGCCCCTGGCTGCAGAATCAGGACTGGAGTTGCTGGAGGGGGCCTGGGAGAACTGGGTGGGAGGACTGGGATACTAGAGAATCAGGACAAGGAAAATGGGGGTAGAACTGGGAGGATCAGGAGAAGCAGGACTTGAGGGGAGCCTCAACAGGAGAATCAGGACTGGAGTTGGAGGAGAGGGACTGGGGAAGAGGCACTGGGAGAACTGGGTGCTCTGGAGAATCCAGGCTGGGAAACCAGGGGTAGGATCAAGACAGAACTGGGAGTACTGAGTGAGGAGGGACTGGGAGAACTGGAGAATCACGAGTGGGAAACTGGGGTAGGGCCAGGGAAGGACTGGGAGTACAGGGAGGATCGGGAGGAGCACCCGAGTGGGAGTCAGTGGGCCTTGACTGGAGAACCAGGACTGGAGCTGCTGGGGGATGTGGCTGGAGAGGGACTGGGGGAGAGACTGGGAGAACTGGGTGTTCTGTGGGGAAGGTTTTGGGGTTCCTCAAAGGTCTTTCCAGTGTTTGGGCTCTGTGTGGGGAGGTCAAGGGAGGGCTCTGACCTTGCAGAGGGCAGGGGGGACTCCATGACCTCATCTGGGGCTTGGGGACACTGCTCAGAGCCCCCGGCCTTGTTGGGGGGCTCTGACCCTGCCGTGGTGTTGGGGCTGGCGGGGGGTGGCCCTGGGGCTTTGGGGGGTTTTGGGGTGGTGGGGAGCAGCAGACCTGGTGGTGGAGAGGGCCGAGCTCTGAGGCTGGTGGTGCCTCAGGTGAGGGGGGAAGGCTCCTCTGGTGGGGCTGCTTGGCCTCGCTGGGGCCCAGCTGGGCTTGGGAGTGGCTGAAGAGGTGGGAAGGGCTCCAGGGGGATTTTCTGCATCCTTTTACTCTGCTTCCCTGAGTTTGCAGATGTGCTCCCTGTGGGATTGCATCCCGTGGCGTGTGCCCAGGGCACGTCTGGGCTGTCACCCCTGCCCTCGCTGCTGGGGCTGAGCAGTCCTGTGGCTCGGTTATCACTGACACTCCTTTCTTTTCCCAGTCTGTGGGTTTCTCCGGGAGGAGCTGAGGCGCAGACAGCCCCGCCATGGATTTCCAGCACCGCCCCGGGGGTAAAACCGGCAGCGGGGGCGTGGCCTCGGCCTCCGAGAGCAACCGCGACCGGCGGGAGCGCCTGCGGCAGCTGGCCCTGGAGACCATCGACATCAACAAGGTACAGGGGACACGTGCAGGGCCACTCCGTGGGATCGTGGCCTGGTTTGGGTTGAAAGGACCATTAAAGCTCATCCAGGGACATCTGCAACTGTCTCAGGTTGCTCCAAGCCCTGGGATTAGACACTTCCAGGGACACAGAGGCAGCCACAGCTGCTCTGGGAAATCCATGCCAAGGCCTCCCCACCCTCACAACCAAGAATTTCTTCCCAATATCCCATCTAAACCAATTCTTGGTCTATCTGAAGCCATTCCCAATTGTCCTGTCCCCCCTGGCCCTTTTCCAAAGTTCCCCTCCAGCTCTCTTGGAGCCCCTTTAGGCTTCATGGTCACCCCAGAGCCTTCTCATCTCCAGGCTGAGGATTGGGTTGGGTTTAAATACTCCTGTTTCTGGGCATGTGAGGATTGAATAAGGAGTATTTGGGAAGAGTGACAGGGAGGTGCCAGCTCTTGTGTATCCATCTATTTCCAGTCTCTCCAGGGCTGGTTTGGGTTGTGGTGTTTCCTGGTGCAGTTGGGAATTCTGTCACAATGCACACAGCTGCTGTTGGTTCTCTGTTTCTTCTTTCTAAAGTTCTCTTGTGCTGTTAATTTAAGATTTGAACTCAGCTACAGGATCCTAGGATATCCTGAGCTGGATCCCCCAGGGATGCTCAGCCCAGCCCCTGTCCCTGCCCAGCCACCCCAACAAGCCCACCCTGAGCACCCCTGGCAGCGCTGTCCAAACGCTCCTGCAGCTCTGGCAGCCTTGGGGCCGGGACCATTCCCTGGGCAGCCTGGGCAGTGCCAGCACCCTCAGGGGGGAGGAACCATTTCCTCCAGTGCAGAACTCTGCAGTATTTTGGTTATTCTCCTGCTTTGCCAACGGATTTTGCTTATAACTTGTCCATCATTCTTTTCCCAGGACCCCTATTTTATGAAAAATCATCTGGGCTCCTACGAGTGCAAGCTTTGCCTGACGCTCCACAACAATGAGGTGAGTGGAACAGCTGCCTGTCCTGATCCCAGCAGCAGCAGCAACTTGGGAATAACAGGAGCTTCAGCACCTGGGCAGCGACTGCTGAGGTGTGAGGGTTGGTGTCTTGGTTTGAGAAGACAGGTGTCTGCTAAGGAAGGCAGCAGCCTCCCCTGAAATGGAAAATGTAAACCCCCTCCCAGTGAATTGTTACAAATTTGAAATTAAGGGGCTCTCACGCAAATATATGGGAGCAGGAATAGCAGTTATTTATTAGGGAAGAAAATAAATAAAATAAACAGTGATACACATTGCCTTGCAGTCTAGGACAGGTGGTTAAGCCTGACACAGTGCACTGTGATCTTGTTGAGCACTGTGATCTTGTTGCACTGTGATCTTGTTGAGGAGTGTAGTTTTCTTCTGAAGGTTCAATAGTAGTGTAGATGGGCTTAGTCTTCTGTGAATCTAGTAAAAAAGAAAGCTGTTCTTCTTAGAGTAGAGAAAGGCTGCTTCTGGTGTTCTAAATCTCAGATTATATCTAAGTAAGAATACTTAGCTTCTCCCCCTGAGCAGACCATCTCTCTATGAGATGATGTAATTTTATCAGTTATGCAGTGAGATTCAATAGCCCATTAACAAAAGATACCTCCCCTGAGGGAAGATTAGTTGTAGAATAGGTAAACTGCCCAATTAACAAAAAATGACCGCCCCACTTGTAACATATAAGAAATAAAATACACACATATCTTATAACCCAAGACATTGTGACAGCTCAGCAGCTGAGAGCAATCTGCACTTCTGGAGTGAGAGTCCTCTGTGCTGAGGATTAAAACACCCTTGTCAGGGAGTGATGCAATCACCCTGTGACAGGAATGTTTCAGTCATGGCTTCATAACTTCTACCTTGGTTTTTATTTCAGGGGAGTTACTTAGCACATACCCAGGGGAAGAAGCATCAGACCAATTTGTAAGTCACCCTCTACCATAACTTTATTCTCCATTATTGAAGCACTTTAATTTTATGATGTTGGGTGTCTGTAGTCCTTTAACTCTATTGTACTCTGCTTGATTGTTCTTTTACTGTGGTTCCTCATGCAGCCAGGAGGCACAGCCTGGATCTGCTTGAAAAATGGTCCTGAAAATCTCCATTTTAAGCTAAAGTTCAAATCCAGTTCTGAAATTGCTGAAGGAAGAGGGAGATGGAGTTTCAAAAGCAAATTGTCTTAGTCTAGTTAGAAGGATCTCTGCCTGCCAGAGCTCCAGGAACATTTGGACAATGCTCTCAAGGATGCTCAGGGTGGGATTGGGGTGTCTGTGCAGGACCAAGGGCTGGATTTGATGATGCTTGTGGGTCCTTCCAGCTCAGGAGATTCCAAGATTCTGTGATCTGGATTTGTCAATACAGGTTTGGAGAAGTTTGGTAGGTTTGTTTTAAGGAATCCAGTTTGCTTTGCTTGATCTGTGGGTTTGGATTTATCTTTTGCTTTTTCTTTTCTTTTTTTTTTTCATTTTGATTTCAAGAATTAAAGGCTTCTCAAATCCATATGTGGAGCCTGGCCTCAAGGTCATGGTGAGGATGGATCAGATGGTTGAGTGACAGCCTTTAGCTAGGGGGAGGATGGATACAGCTGGGGAAGGGAAATAGGATTTCCTGGCATGATTCCTGTGGAATGCTGTGCTGAGGGATTCAAACTGCTCCTGGGTTTCCTTTAGAAACAAGGGCAGGTAACCCTTAAATTCTAAATTAATCCCCAGGGCTCGACGAGCTGCCAAGGAAGCCAAGGAAGCCCCTGCCCAGCCTGCCCCAGAGAAGGTCAAAGTGGAAGTAAAGAAATTTGTGAAAATTGGGCGCCCAGGCTACAAGGGTGAGTCAGGAGGTCCCTGATGGGCAGTGCCTGCCTGGCTGGGATGTGAATTATTAATTTGTTTTTTTAGCAGCTCTGCCATGAATAAGATATGGGCTCTCTCCTGGAGTCTTTTTATTGTTTAAATTGCTCATGGAACATCTCTTTATGGCTGACAGGCAGGGAGAGCCACTTCAATAATAGATGGGTGTGTCTCAGGCTGCCAGGGAGATGATGGCATTTCATCTCCTCCTTCTCTTGTGCTGCAGCACCTTTCATTAATGCTGTAAATCACTCACTCCATGCAGAACTCATGGGGTTTTTTCTGTTTTTCATGGGTTTTTTGGCCTTCAGTACAAAATTTGGCTTTTTAATCTCACCAGTGCTTTGCCCCACAGCAGCTGAACTTCAGTAGAGGTGAATCATGGAATAATTTAGGTTGGAAAATACCTTTAAGATCACTGAGTCCAACTGTAAACTTAGCACTGCCAAGGTCACAACTAAACCATGTCCCCAGGTGCCACATTCACAGGTGTCTTAACACTTCCATGAATAGTGATTCCTGGACAGCCCCTTCCAATGCTTTACAGCCCTTTCAGGGAAGGAATTTTCCCAATATCCAACCTAAGTCTGGCCCAGCCTGAGGCCGTTCCCTCTCCTCCTGTCCCTGTTCCCTGGAGCAGAGCCTGGCACCCCCAGCTGTCCCCTCCTGTCAGGAGTTGTGCAGAGCCACAAGGTCCCCCTGAGCCTCCTTTTCTCCAGGCTCAGCCCCTTCCCAGCTCCCTCAGCCTCTCCTGGAGCTCCAGGCCCTTCCCCAGCTCCATTCCCTTCCCTGGACAACCCCAACCCCTCAATGTCCTTCTTGGGGTGAGGGGCCCAAACCTGCCCATGGCAGTGACACAGTCCCAGAGTGGTTTGGGTTGGAGGGACCTCAAAGCCCATCCAGTGCCACCCCTGCCATGGCAGGGACACCTCCCACTGTCCCAGGCTGCTCCAAGCCCTGTCCAGCCTGGCCTTGGGCACTGCCAGGGATCCAGGGGCAGCCACAGCTGCTCTGGGCACCCTGTGCCAGGGCCTGCCCACCCTCCCAGAAGTAGCTTTGGTTAAAAATAATGTGACATTTTGTTTGATAAACAGGAGAAAAATCTTGTAATATTTAATTGTTGGAAATTTTGTATGTTTCCCAGGGCAGATTAATGCTGCTCTCACCCTGCTGGGGCATGTTCTCATCTTTCTTAAATATATATATATATTTTTTTTTTTACAGTGACCAAACAGAGAGACCCAGAAACAGGCCAGCAGAGCCTTCTCTTTCAGGTAAGGGCATGGTTGAAACTCTCCTTGTCGGGTTTTCCAGGTAACACTGCTGCTAAATGAGCAGTTCTTTGCAGGATCCGTGAAATCAATAATAATAAGGAGGCCTTATCTTCCTAGTTGCTGCAGCTGATTGTGTTGAGCAAATCCCTGAGCTCAGCTATCAGGCTGTGTAGTGGGAGAGGAATGTGGAGTCTGAGGTGGAATGAGTTGAGAATCACAGGATAGTTTGGGCTGGAAGGGACTTTAGAAATGATCTGTTTGCAACCCCCTGTGATGGCCAGGGACACCTTCCTTGAGGCCAGGTTGCTCTAACCCTTGCCTGGGACATTTCCAGGGATGGAACAGCCACAGCTTCTCTGGACCACCTGTGCCAGGGCCTAGCAAGTCTTACAGGGAACAATTCCTTCCCAACATCTCTCCTAAATTTCCCCTAATTCAGTTTGGGGTCTTTAATCCCAAGCCATTCTGGGACTCTGCTGAGAGACAAAGGAGCATTTTGCATTGTGGTTTGCTCTGGGTATGCTCCACACTGGAGGAATGTGTTTGGAGCAGAGCTGGGGGTGCAGAGGGGGGTTGCTAAAGCTGCCCTGCCCCCCCAGATCGATTACCCTGAGATAGCTGAGAGCATCATGCCCCGGCACCGCTTCATGTCGGCCTACGAGCAGCGCATCGAGCCCCCGGACCGGCGCTGGCAGTACCTGCTGATGGCAGCAGAGCCCTACGAGACCATCGCCTTCAAGGTGAGACCTGGCAGGGAGCCTGGCAGACTGGCTGGGTTTGACAAGACAGGTGTGTGCTAAGGAAGGCAGCAGCCTCCCCTGAAATGGGAAATGTAAACAATCTCCTTCTGAATTATTATAATTTTGAAATTAAGGGGCTCTCAGGCAAAGATATGGGAGCAGGAATAACAGTTCTTTATTAGGAAAACTGAAAATACACATGTAATAGTACAAACAGAAAAAAAAACACTGCTAGAGTCACAATAGACCTGACTGAGAGCATCATGCCCCGGCACCGCTTCATGTCGGCCTACGAGCAGCGCATCGAGCCCCCGGACCGGCGCTGGCAGTACCTGCTGATGGCAGCAGAGCCCTACGAGACCATCGCCTTCAAGGTGAGACCTGGCAGGGAGCCTGGCAGACTGGCTGGGTTTGACAAGACAGGTGTGTGCTAAGGAAGGCAGCAGCCTCCCCTGAAATGGGAAATGTAAACAATCTCCTTCTGAATTATTATAATTTTGAAATTAAGGGGCTCTCAGGCAAAGATATGGGAGCAGGAATAACAGTTATTTATTAGGAAAACTGAAAATACACATGTAATAGTACAAACAGGAAAAAAACACTGCTAGAGTCAGAATAGACCTGACCCCCTGTGGGTCAGGGTGGTGGCACAGCCCCATCCCATGGTGGCTCAGCCCTCCTGCAGTGCCAGCTGTGGTTCTGCTGGAGCAGGGATCCTGCACAAGGCTGGAGTTTTCCTCTGAAGCTCCAGGGCTGCTGGAGATGGGCCTGCTCTTCCTCTGGGAATGCAGGGCAGGAGAAAGCTGCTCCTCTGGGAATGCAGTGGGCAAAGGCTGCTGGGGTGTTCCAGGCTCAGATTGTATCCAGGTAGGAATGCTTGGCTCCTGCCCTGGGCGGAGCATCTCCCCATGGGATGCTGGAATTTGATCAGCCATGCAGGGACACTCAGTGGCCATGGACAGCAGAGATCTCTTGGAGGGAGGGTTGGCTGTGGGAGAGATAAAGAATACTGCCCAATGAACAGAAGAGAGCTGCCCCACCTCTAACAGATAGGAATAGAATATCCCTATTTCCAACCTAAGATAGAGAGGAATCCTGGGAAAGCTGGGAGTGTTCCCTTCCTGCCTTTGCCAGGTCAAGGGACAGGATTGTCCTGCTCTGCACTGGGGCAGCCTCACCTCCAGGGCTGGGGCACTTTGGCTAATTAATCCCTAATGAACTCTCTGATGTCTGTGCTAACCCTCAGGGGTTAATAGAGTGGAAGCGGGGGGTCAGGAAGACATGGTTGGAAGTTACTAAATCCCACTGAGGTTTGGTGGAGGACTCTGGCATGAAAACCAGACTGTGCTGAGCCCTGGGGAGCTGTGAATTCCCAGTGTCTGGCACAGACAGGAGCCTCCTGGGCTCCTCAGCTTCTGTGCAGATGTTCAGGGAGGGATTTTTGCTGGTTGTCCTTGACCGATAGGGAAGTAACTTAATTCTTTCCTGCCCCCACCTCTGTCTAATAACAACCGTGCAAGGCCTGGAATAACTGTGCTTATCTCACAGGCTCTGGGGCTAAAAAGGGCCTTTGAGCTAATCTGGTGCTGCTAAGAATAGCTCTGTGTTCTCTTTTGGTGCAGGTGCCAAGCAGAGAAATTGATAAAGCAGAGGGAAAGTTTTGGACTCATTGGAACAGAGAAACCAAACAGGTAACTGAGGTTTTGTAATGTCTGTCCTTAAGGAGAGCAGAGCAACTTGGGAGAGTAACATCAGTTCTGTCCTGCTGCCTCTGCTCTTCAAATCTCCATTCCTCAGTGCACCTGTGCAGTGAGAGCTGACAGAGATCCTCCTGTGTGGGATCTTGGAGAGGATTCAGTTTCTGGCAGCAGCAGCAGGATGGGGCATCAATATCCAGAGAAAAGGAGAGGGAACAGGGGAAAGCACCAGAGGGAATGGCCTCAAGCTGTGCCAGGGGAGGTTTAAGTTGGATATTGGGAAAATTCCTTCACTGAAACATTGTCATGCATTGGAAGGGGCTGCCCAGGGCAGTGGTGAAGTAACCACCCCTGCAAGTGTTCAAAAACATGTGGATGTGGCATTTGTGGCCATGGTTTAGTGGTGAATGTGGTGGTGCTGGGCTGCTTGCTCGACTTGTTGATCTTAGGGTTAGGTTTGGCTTTTCCCAGCCTAATGATTCCATGAGAAATGTGCAGCACCATGTCCTCTCCACGGCTCTGTGCCCTGTGTTCCCTCCACACACCTGCCTGAGGGAGCCTGGGGCTGGGGGGGCTCCCCTGTATCCGGGGGACAGTGCCTGGGGGGCTCCCACCCCTCACAGGAACCTCAGTGCTCAAAGTCCAGTAGTTAAAATCTGGGGCAAGGCTGGTGCCAGCCACAGATGCTGCCAGGGCTGGGACATCTGAGGGTGACAGGAGGGGCCTGAGCTGTGCTCTGGGGCAGAGAGCAGCTCCTGGGTGCTGGCAGAGCTGTCACCAGGGTGCTGGCACTGCCCAGGCTCCCCAGGGAATGGTCCCAAGGCTGCCAGAGCTCCAGGAGCCCTCAGGGATGCTCAGGGTGGGGTTGTTGGGGTGGCTGTGCAGGGACAGGAGTTGGATCAGTGATCCCTGAGGGTCCCTCCCAGCTCAGGACGCTCCAGGATTCTGTCAATCCCTGATTAATTGTTCCCTTTTCTCTGCTTTCTTCCCATGCCCAGTTCTTCCTTCAATTCCACTTCAAGATGGAGAAGCCCCCGGCCCCCCCGAACCTCCCCCCAGGGCCCCCGACCGTCAAGCGGCCGCCGCCCCCTCC